GTAATGAGATGCTGCAAGGGATTTCTCTTGGCATAGTATTTCATCTTCTTTAAAGGTGTTTTTCAAGTCTTGTGACATATGGTTTGTTAGTTAATTGTTCGTAGGGAGTGTGTTGGTTTGCTTTCCTTTTTATTTTTGTAAATGGGTAAGAGTACCCATTGTACTTTAATTAATAAATTTCATTTTGTTGATTAAAAAAAAAAAGAGATCCATGCATGATTTTAAGAAAAAAGAGTTAGTGTTTTGTAATTTAAACTACAAAACATCAAATACACAAGCTATTAACTTATAAGTTTTTCTTTTTCCTTTTTTTTTTTGGTGAATTGTAAGTTATTTTATCGATTTGTGCCAAAACACAAAATGAATATTGTCTGTGGTATGACATCAAAATGGCCTTCAAGAAATTAAAAGACACTTCTTGTTAAACAAAAGTACTTATATATATTAGGAGAATCTCATCGCTTACTGATGTTGGGATTAGTTGTAACTACCCATTGAGATGTTCTGAGATTTTTTTTATTTGAATAAATTTGTAAAGGATCCAATTTGAATTGTTATTTTAAAAAAAAATAAAATATATTTATATGTGATCTGACGTCATTAGATCAAAGATCCAAATGGAAGATGCTCTGAGATTTGAGGTAGGATTTTGCTCGAATTTGTAGAACTCATTATATACACAGGCAATTAATTTATAGGTTTTTTTTTTTAAGGGTGAATTATAGGTTATTTTATTGATGCGTACAAGAGTACAAAATGAATAGCTAATCTTATCAACTAAATGCAAAGAATCACAATCAATTGTTCAAAGTTTAGACTGAAGGCCCTACAAAGAAAGGATAGGTGCCCTTGAAAAAGCTGTGAAGATAAGGTGTTGCTCTCATGATTATAATCATAACTCGAGCGCATGACCAAAAAAAAAATTGCTTTTTCATTCTTAGTAAGAACGGAGAAAATTGAAAATTTTATTTTTATGTTAGATATTTCTAAGTATCAGATAAGGTTGGATTGTATATCTAAAATCTAAATCCTAGATTACATTCATGCATGCTCTTTTAGCTCATCCAAAGATAAGGCATTGATCTCAATAACATTGTGAGTTTATTAATTAAAAATTGATATTAATATTTTACAATTTAAATTATATTTAATTATAAATCAAAAGTTATTAAATAAAAAAATACTCATATAGACCCCACATCTAATAATAATTTTATGTTTTTGTTAATAGAGGGTAAATTTATCTTCTTCTTTTTTTGTAATTTTCCTGATTCATGATGAAAACTCAAAAAATGGGTTATCAGTTTATCACCGCGTATTCCTAATCCACTTAGAAATGCGTGCCACAGACCAAAACTGCCCGTTTTGCAGTATATCTTCTCGGGGGTAGAATAATGCGCCAATGTTGTTGGTAGCATGTCATTCAACATTTTGATATTGACTCTGGCCGTCTTAATTTCTCTGTCAATTGTCTCTTTCGGAACCACCGGAATATTGATACCTCCGTCACCGCCACCGGAGTCCGGTGAGGGGTTGGTGTTCTGACAATGTCTTGTGACTGTGGGGTTTCACGGTCTTTTTCCGAGCAAGTAAAAAATCATTTTTTAAGCAAAGCACAAAAGCCCTCACTAGGAAGGGACCATAAAATAAAGTGGTTCTTGCACCTCTTATTCTCTTAAATCTCAACTCTCCAATTTTATGGGATGAAGTGTGTTTTGTACAAAGGTCTGAAGTTAGTGTGTTTGGATGAAGATTAGTTAATTCTTTGTATTCCAACCGTTAATTCAGAATCAATCCCATCTATATTTTTATTAGTTTGACTTTGGGTTGATGTCCGAGTCAATAGATCAGACGGTTGATATGATTCGTGATTAGGGTCAGGCCCACAAAATTGGAGGTCACCATCAGAAATCATAAATGAGCTTTGTACATAACTTTAAAAAATGGGTCACAAGTTGCTATATAAGCCTTCCAAAGCTTGTTGGATGTTGGTGGTCCTTTTTAAATAAGCATTTTCCTTATCCCTCTGCACTTCCTGCAGGATATCTGATAAATCCCTAATTCCATAAAGCCATCCTCAGCTCCTCCCCCATCCCTCTGCCACTCTGTTTTTCAGATTATCATTGCCGACTTTGGAGTTTCCCATCTCTACCTCCTCTTCACCCATTCCCAAGAAAAATTAATTAAGGAGAGATAATTCCATGGATGCTGACATGATGAAATCATCAGCAACAGAGGATCACATGGACATGATGACAATGATGATGCAGATGGAAAAGCTTCCTGAATTCTGTGAGCCTTCCCAGAACACCGCTATCTTTCCTGAAATTCAGTTCTCCAGCATGTGCCAACACACTGATACTAATGCACTAGATCCCATCAGAATTTCGCAATATCATATTGTATCTTCCCAGCTTAATCCCATGACGAGTCTGCAGCCTTTCATCATGGGCAATCCAGTTCAAGAACCCATGACTCCACCACTCCAACCTAACATGGTCACAAACAAGTTCAAGTACCCGGGTCCCTTCTCGAACCCGAATTCATATCCAGACAAGAAAAACTCCACGACAGCAATGAGGGAGATGATCTTTCACATAGCAGCAATGCAGCCAATCCAAATAGATCCAGAATCCGTCAAGCCTCCGAAACGAAGGAACGTGAAGATCTCGAAGGATCCGCAAAGCGTTGCGGCGAGGCATAGACGGGAGCGGATAAGCGAGAGGATAAGGATTCTGCAGAGACTGGTTCCAGGAGGAACAAAAATGGACACCGCTTCCATGTTAGATGAGGCTATTCATTATGTGAAGTTCTTGAAGAAACAAGTACAATCTCTAGAACAAGCTGCAGTTAACAGGCCGCCGTCCGGTGCAACAATGGCGAACATGGGTTTCTCCCCCATGGTAAAAGGTTGCCAGCCGCCTCCTCAAGTTACCGGAAGTAATATGGAGATGCTTGGATAAGAAGTTTGCATGATTAGAGTTACTTAGTCAGATTGGTGTAATTAATGTTAACACCAATCTGACTAATAACGTACGTTATTAGGATGTGTTTCTGTGGGTTAATTTGTAAAGAGCAAGAGCAAAACTTGACTTAATTAATCTTTGTTAATGTCACCAAAAATAGATTCTCTGTTGTACGCTTTCATATTAATTGGTGGCTTAATTATATTAGTACTATTTTTTTTCTTTGTAACTACCATGCATCTGTAGAAAATATAATCATATGACATGTCATGAGATTAATATATTTACTTCATCGAATGTTGATTGATTCTCGTGGGAGACTGGAGAATTTAGTATGAACTTAAAAAAGGAAGATTTGATCATGCCTCAATTAGAAAAATGGCACCAGAATATTAATATACGTTTTACTTGTCTTCAGAAAGTGTTGAAAATTAATATATCTATTTTCCTGCTTGATAGATTAATTTATATCTGCAATATTGCAACAAATATAATGTTTTGTTTAATTATCATTCAGTAAAAACAAATCCTTCTTCTCTCTCTACTCTAGAACCTCCTGCTTCTGACTAGAACCTTCTCAAAGTTAAGGTTTTTTGTGCTCGGAAGCCTCTGGCTTCTCAAGTTTTTTGGTGCTTAGAAGCCCACCGCCTTCTCAAGCATGTTGGAGTCGGCTAATCGTGCTCTTTTGTCCATTGACCACCTTGAGTGGTCTATCGGCTTCTTTCATGGCCCTTTTTAGTAGTCTTTGTTTTCTTTCCCTTTCATGTTCCTTGTTTTCTTTTGTTTGTTCTTATGGCTAACAAGACAATAAAGAAGAGAATTGGGGTTGGTGGCTACTTGCTCCGATCTTCCAGCCATGGTATTTTGGAGAGTAAGCTTATCTCTTTCGAAAGATATCCAGTTTTTCTCAAACATTTCACTAGAGGAATTTGTAAAAATTAATTTTTTAGAGGTTTTTAGTGTAATTTGCCCACCTTCTTCTTTATTTGTTTAATGTTGAACTTAATCTACTCTTTTCTTTAGTTACAACTGTGCTTTATTTGTTTAGTCATCTGTCTTTATCAATGGAATAAGGGTTTTATATATATATATATATAGATGTCAGTATGACTTTGATGAAATCATTTGATTTTAGTTTAGTTCAAAAAATATATATAACATTTTGTTTACAATACTTTATTTATTTAATATGATATTTTATTGAACAGATAAATATATATTAATTTTATGAATGATATTTAAATTAAAAACTAATTATAAAATAATATAAAATCTAATCGATACAAATCCTTTCATGTAATAATTAGTATTAATTAATATTTTTTAACGTTACAGTTCTACACCCTAAAACACTGAACTTATATAATGAAACTATTGAATTATATGATAAAAAAGAAATACGGAGCACGCATATTGTAAATGGTGTCAATAAATACAAAGTGCTCAAAATCGCCGACAGCTGATCTTTTCCTTAGATTTTTTATTTTATTTTTTTATTTTTTATTTTTTGGTTTCAAGATCTGTACCGTACGTGGCGTATTTTATTTTGTTCCAGAAGGGGCAGAACTCTCGGGATTTGGGCCTGAACCTGGTCTTTATATGGGCTCACCGGAGCAGAATTTCTCTCCTCATTAATTAATTACAACATAATTTTTAATTAGTTGTCATTCATGCCATTTTTCTCCATTAGTTCTTCCATTAGTTTTTTTTCTTTTTTTAACGTGTTTAGAACGGGTTAGATTCGAATTGTTACTTGAGAAGGGGAAAATGTACTTTTTACTGTAGTTTTATTGTCATTGAAGCCGAAAGTTTAAGTGCAGTTACTCCATTAGTTTTTAAACTTAAGTAATACAAAAATTTGTATTATAATTCAAAATATATAATATTATCTATTAAATAAAAGTGAATCTTTTGATATATTGTGGCTCTCTTTTTATTTAATAATTTATATTTTAAATATATATTAGTAAAAATATATTTATATGTGATCTGACGTCATTAGAT